TGACCACGCCATCTGGCTGACGTGTGGGGGTCGTCCGCGGTAGAGGTACCAATGTCGCGGGCAGGTGTCGTCGACCCCGTTCTCGCACCTGCCGCCGTCGTTTAAAGACTATTCCACCGCCGCTCTGAGCGCCTCCTCCATCAAGAAAGGAAAAACGTGGCAGCGGCGGCGCTGCATCTGCGCCGTCTTCCCCCGTCCCTTCTCTTTCTTTATTTGTTTGTTTGTTTGTTTCCCTCTCTCTCGCTCCGGGCGCCAGGCCGCCTCCCGGGGCGGGGGGGCGAGGCGGGCGTGTTGCATGCCGCCTCTCTTCTTCCCTTCTTCCCTTCTTCCTGCCCGCGTGGGCGGAGCGGAGCAGCGAAGCGAGGCGAGGCGGGCGGGCTGCGTTGAGGGCAAAAAGAAGAAGAGAAAAAAAAACACAGCAGCAGCAGCAGCAGCGCGGGGCCGCCGGAGGAAGCACACGCCTCCGCGTGCGTTTTTGCCTGCGGAAGCGCGTGGGAGGCGAGGGAGCAACAAAAGCAAATAAACAAAAACAAAAGTAGATGGTGTTTTTCTTTAAGAAGCGCCACGGCGAGATGGCGGCGACGGATGCCGGCGGCCGCGGCTTCATCTGGCGGCTGAAGGACTTCTCCGGCTACAAGCCGGGCGGCGTGCTGGACAGCGAGAACGTGCCGGCCTTCACCAAAGTCAAGTTCCACCTCCACATGACGCTTGACGCGAAGGGCAACATCGGGCTCTACCTGCACTACAAGGCGATGGGCATCCCCAAGTACTCGTACTACTTCTCCAACAGCAGGGGGGAGGTGATGCGGAAGCACACGGCCCACACCATCCCCCCCAACACGCAGCGCTGCGGGCACTGGAACGTGTGCTACCGCCCCGACGTCCTCGACTTCGTCGGCGCCGAGGATGTGCTGCTGGTGAACTTCTTCTTCGACGATGACAGCCTGGCGACGAGCCGGATGCCGTGTCGCAGCGCGCTGCGGGTGACCTGGACAGTGCCGCACCTCTTCACGCAGGTGCTGAACCCGTACTCCTCGCAGGGCTTCACGAGCGAGGGCGTTCACTTCGCCGTGCGGCTGGAGATCAAGAAGGAGTCCGGCACCATCGACGCCGTCGCCCCGTACGCCGTGGACAACATCAAGGAACTCGTCTTCTTCCTCTTCTGCCGCAAGGGGGAGGTGCCGCCGCACAGCATCGAGCTGCTCGACGGCGGCGGCGCCTGCATCGCCCGGATCGACGAGCAGGACACCCCCGGCGTGCGGACGCTGACGGTGCCGAAGCAGAAGTTGTGGGACGCGCTCGGGGCGACGGGGACGCTGACGGTGCAGGTGGAGCTGCAGTGCCGCGGCAACCCGATCGACGCCCTCAACGCCCTCAGCGAGGCGCGGCAGCAGCTGCTGCCGCCGCTGCCGGGCGAAGGGACGCTTGCGGCGGACGGAACGGCGCCGCCGGCGACGGTGCAGCTCGGCAGCAAGAGGGACGAGTACGTGGTGTTTCACGGCGACGACTAGCATGCAACTGGGGGAACCGCCACCCCGCCGCCGCCGCGACTGTCGCCTCGCACTTTTTATTAGAAGTCAAACATGAGAGAAAAGGGGCGATGGGGAAAGGGAGCGGAAGTAGCTGCCCGGGAGGACGAAGGCGGGGCAGGCGGCGCCATGCGGCAATGCACGCGCAACGCGGGCCCACCAGTCCAAAGGGAAGAAGAAGAAAAAACGAAAACGCAAGAAAAGAAGTGAGAAGTACGAGGGGGGCACCTCTGCGTTTGTCTGTCTGTGCAGCAGCAGCAGGCACGGCGGAGTTTGGGCCGCGGGGCCGGGGAGAGTCGGCGCGAGGGTGGTGCCACTCCATGAGCTCACCACACGCAAAAAAAAGGAAAGGGAAAAGACACTTTTTTTTCTGTAGTTCAAGACGACATATAAT